TGAACCTGTATCATCTGTGGTGTAGGCGTGACATCGGCGTATTCTTCAAGGATCGGGTTTACAATGCTGCGCTCCATATTTTTATACTGGTCAGAGATCTGACTGATGCGCACTGAGGTTTGACCATCGATGTCTTACAAGCACATCCCGAGTCTAGTGGAGACACCGGATCTGTAATGCTGAAGCACGTCGAAGGGTTTTCGGGAGAAACAACTCGCCCACCACAAATGTACTTACCACACTATAGGTTTCGGTGGCCTGGTCACGTGCTCCGTATGCCACCTGACCGAATTACTCAAAGAGCCAACTACGCGAAGAATGAATACGAACCAGGGGTGGCCAAACAGTAACTTGGCAGAGGAGTATGAAGGTAGTACCAGCAAACTCAGCTGCACTGGTCATCACCGTCTCTCTAAATGGGGACACCGAGACCAGATACATCAATGGTTTGGGACATTATCAGAAATGGGCCGGTCGCGCCCTCAGTGGTGCTCTTGCATCCAAACTGTTGCCAAAACTTTCCAATGAAAAGTCCACAGATAACCCTGTATCAGCTACCGCCTCCAAAGTGCAGCTATCTACCCTACCTCTGCAAATCGTGGGTGAATGAAAATTTAGCAGCTAGGAACAATGTACGACAAGTGTGCGATTTTCACAACTGCTGCTGCTGTTGCTGGTGCATTCCTCATTCCCTGTTCATATATGTTTTCTCGCTACTGTTAACTTGCGCTGAATCCACAAAATGTATGCAGGCGACTCAGGAAGTAAAAATGTGAACACCTCGTCAGCTTAGTCTACTTTGCATTCCGGTGGGGTGGATTAAGTGAACTTCGATGTTTCACATGAAAAAAATNGAGCAAAGGCTGGATGCGATAACAGTCTAGACTTCATGAGTTAGCGCTATAGTGGTGTAATTTTTATTATATATGACGCTCAAACGACATGTGATCACATAAAGGGCACCGTGGCAGAGCTCATCATAAACGCCCCTCTTAAAACGGATAATTTTTGCTTGCCCATGCATTTTATGCTTTCGAAAGGGATCATGTGAGTGAAGACGTGATCATCTTCATTGCGATTTCTCCCCAACGAGCAAAGACTTTGGAAACCGCTTACTGTCCTCTTCGCTGGGAGGTTATTGCATGCAGTGATAGGAACTTTGAGAAATCTGAACTGGATTTTCCTGTTGAATGATTTTTTACTTGCCGGACGAACCATTGAATATTATTTTCAAGGATGTGTGAGAACTGCTCACAAGTTCCAACCATACCATATTCTGACTAGCTTGTCCTAGGCAACCCAGTTCCATACACGCTCCTTGGTATCCTCGACCATTGATTTTCCGCACGGTACTACACATTGCTTCAATATATCAAATTCAGATCTCCCTTGCAATACGTGTTGTGTTGAAGTACGTCACGTCATGCAAGTATTGAATGAATCTGCCGCTCCCATCGGTTGTTGTGCGGACAGGTGACTTCATCCTGATTGACTGAATGATCCACGAAAGTGCTA